TTGAATCAATGAACTGTTTCCCTATTCGCAAATTCCACAAACGTATTCAAGTGGCATCGCTCGTATCTGGCAATGCAACAATAGCTTCACTTCTCAATGGTATAGACCTTACGCATCTCCACAGCAATGTGAGTTCGCTCGTCTTATAGGTTAGAAGACTCTGTGATCATCCAGCTCAGCCTCACCATCTATACAACGGAATAACGAAGGGCTCCAATTGAGACTCTGGAGTGTTAGAATAGGCCATCTACAGACAAACTTATCCCAAAACGGTAACTTTGCCGAGTCTAGGACACTTCGAAGCAATATAGAGGGTAGTGTAATGCACATATGCAAAAAAAGCCTAATTACCATATTCATGTATCTGTCTACACTCACACGAGACATTGTGAACTTAAAGGCAGATAACTTAATATGGCGGTGGTAGCACCGACTAAGGAAGTATGACGAATAACTAAAAAAAAGTGAACTAAAATGTGGAGTAACTGAAACTGCAAATACTGCTGCTAGGAAAGTTATGAGCCAGTCAAAATTGGCTGGAAGATGAATCGCACACTTAAACCGAGCAACCCTTCCAGGATCGACCCTTGAGTGACGTCTGGGAGTAAGCCTCTCCGAATTTGCACTATGAAGGAGAAGCAGTCACCCGGCCACCTAGTGTGAGAGTAATTGATGAGAGGTAGAGCCTAAGAGAAGATCTAGCATTTACAAGCAGTATGGTGCACGGCAACTCGACGTGGTTCAATTTGAAAATCAAACGCAGAACAGAGCTCGTACCCATGAACGCGCATTTTTCCCGCTGTAGTCACGATATGTTATCGCTGTATGTCCAGCCAACCTGTACGTGACTCGAACCCCAAAGCTTGCTGATCCACATTTGTGATCAGAAGTTCGCAATTGCGATACTATATTCAAATATCCGGTGTCATGTCTCATAAGAATTGGACTGAGCAGTTTTCCATATGGAGAGCTCGTGACAGTATCATTGCCTTCTACCCTGAATGTAAGGGACTACTCTAGAGCCACCACTTGACGAGCGTGGATCTTCATAGCGCCGAGAAGCAGGAAAAGATAAAAACTATTACGACTCTGTACGCATTGCTCCGTCGTTTTCTGATGCTCGCTTGTCGCCGGCTTCCCTCCCCGCTGGTGTGCGGCATGCTCCTTTATCCTCCTTAGATGGCGCTAAGCCACCAGATCGCTTGTGTTCCACAGCATCGCTACATATTGTCTCAAGTAACTTGCATCCCCTCTATTGCCTGAATCAGTAGTATGCCCTCTCTTTTGGATCAGACACAGAAATGATAAGACTATATGAAAGGTTGGGACGCGCTAAAGGTTGCTATTCTCTTCGACCTTGCCTCAGAACTCGACTTCCAATCTTTCTTCGCGAATCCAATTTCTCTCTGGATACTTCGCGCTATGCTGTATTTAGAAATTTAGAAAGCGGACTCAAGAAGGTTTCTTTGTTACTTGTATGGCAATACAGTTGTGCTGACAGGAGTGTGTAAGGTTGCTTGTAAGTGGAGCAAAGCAGAGCACTTTTCCGACAATAGACCAGAAAAAATAAAAATTTTGAATTCTAATAATTATCCACTTTCCCAATATGATGCGACCTAAAGATATAATCATGGTTACCAACCTAATAGAAAACAAAACCGATGTCTCGATAAGTACTACCACGCAGTCCTAATTAAGTAAGAAGAAAACAACTTTCTATCAATAGTAATGGTCGCTGCCCGAGGGGGCTTTTCTCTCAGCAAAACAGGTTCTGGTGCTCTCTCGCGGACAGAGGGGAGTATCCCGTAGGAGAGCTACTCTTGTCGATGATTAGTGCTGGTCTGGCACGTTGGTATTAAGGGAGAAGGAGCGAGCGAGTGATAGGCGGAGGAGGTGCCTTTGCAGCGCGTGCGCACATGTGTCACTTCTTTGCGGGGATGCACTTTCATTCTTTGTACTGCCTTCAAATACGCCCTTCTCATGAAGGTGGAGGAATGGAGCGACTGAACCTGCAAAGAAAATTTAATATCATGTTTTTTTTTCAGATTTTCATTTTTTCTGCTGCGCTATACCCTCTTACCTATCTGCACCATGATACCACTGCTGTTACTGACCCAAGAGTACGACCCCCATGACCCAGCCCGACAGGTACGACCCCCCTGTCGAGGATTTCCTCGACCGATATTCACCCTGCCCCGGAGGGATGGAAGGCTTGGTTGGCCCGGGCGACTCACGACCCAGGATTTGATCCCCGGACCGCTCGCGTGGTAAGCGCGCCACTTGCCACTACACCACTTCCGCCTGGGGAGGGTTGGGTCAAATGTCGACGGTGGGTGTAGCTAGCCCAAAAGTGGGCGAAGCCTGCTACAAAATGTATAGCTCGGCTTTAAAAAGTCTCGTAGTCTGGCAAAAAATAACAATGGTTCGCAGTGGAAACGAAACACTAACACTGACGGTAAGCTTAGTGTCGATCAAAACAGTCACTCTTGTTGATTGTTCATCAGTCAGAGCTGAGCTGAACTGATGGTTGGGTGATTTGCTGTCTCAGTACCTGTGTTTTCTCGAGGCGAACGCAAAGGTCCGTCGAATTTCGCACATAGAATGATTTTGATCCGAAATCGAACACCATCACCAATCTCGCTCGACCCAACCTCTGGCCACACTGTATTTGATGTTGTTCCGTAGAACTTATTATCTCATTGAGCGGAGGTTGACAAAGTAACAGTAAATCGCCTGAGGGTGAGGCATGACACAACTATCCCTTTCAAGTGGTGCTCACTTGATTTGAAGCGTGGCTGTTTTAAACAGTACAAAGAAGGCCGACAACTAAGTTTCCACTCTCTACGTCCCTACGTATATGATCATTGATTTAGTAGTTGACTCGCCCGTCCCAACAAAGTATTAGGTTGGAAAGAAAGTTCTGCAACACTCTTTCTAAAATTTTCTTTTTTTCTGAAAAATTCATAGGTAACATTTATGACTAACAAATGGTAGAGCATTCTCGAGGCTTCAATCCACGAGGTGGATATAAGTGCTGCAGTCAGTAGTTATCCAAGAAAATTCAAAAAACCTCGACCACTAGTAAATCCATACTCCGAGTCACTGTCTAGTACAAATGTCTCCATAACTATGGATTCGTGTCAACGACCGACACTATCTGCAATAGCTTCAATAGGCATGTCGTTCACCGCTACAGCGTGTTTCACCTTTACCAGCGCTTTCGATCTTTTGATATTTTTATAAGAAGCCAGCAGCGTCCCTCACACTCCATTACAGGTAGGGCTCTTACGGAAGCTCCACTACAAATTCTTCGTTATGGGCACCATTGTGTAGGTAGAGGTCTAGGCTGCGGAACTCCAGAAGCTGGCCGAGGCAGCTCGTCAGGAGCCCTCGTACCGCGACAATATTTATTTCTTTCATGACATTGCGAATCACCATGATCCGAAATGAGCCCGGTAAGAAATTCTGGAGCTGCGGCAAGATTTCTTACCTCTCTTAGCGTATTCCCCTGGTCGAGCTATAAATGACTGCCACCTATCCTGGACCTTAATCATCATCTTGATGACGAAATAATTAGACGATCAACTCCAACTCGAAAGTGAGGTCGCCTCCTTTCTCGACCCGCACTCCGCTGGGTTTTGGCAAGGAGCATCAAGAAATTTTCTGAGCGTTGAAGACAAGTGGTGGACACTCATGGTAGATATAAGACCGGTCAGGAGTTGTAACCAAAAAAGATAAAATTAAAATCAAAAATTTGAAAAAGTGTTGCAGGACTTTCTTTCCAACCTAATATACTACTTATACTTGATCCTTCATTCTATTATATAGTCACTCCACGGGCTGAACTCAAGTATTCAGTAATCTAGCGCTCTTCAGAGTTCAGAAGGGAAGTCGAGTCTGCCACAGAGGGTGTGCTGCTAAGTGCATAATGGCAAGACTTAACATAAAGTTTACAGCGGATCAGTCAAGCTGCTTCAACATCAGCGTCACTTGCATTGCAAAGATTTACATGCTGTTCTCGGTGAAGCCTCGAGCTACTAGCGTGCATTTGCTGGAGTGATTCCGATCAATGATACATGGATCAATGAGGTGTGAGATTGCTCATAGTTTTGATGGGTGCCCGTAGCTAACATGAAGTATTAGCAACCAACTGTGTATTATGTTTTTGGGTTGGATATGCAATGCTTCAAGTATACCGAATTTCTAATTATTCAATTCTCATGCATTTCTTATACTTATCAACCAAATAAGCAGGGATATAAATAAATTTTTTGCCGCTATTATAATTTCCCGATTGTATGTTTATGAGAAGGAATATATTGAATACTCTCTTCAACCATCTAAACTTATCACGTCATTACGGCTAGCTATCAGAAACAGTCCTCCTTCTATAGTGAGTGGTTCATCATCTATACTCTCTGTAGAACTCACTAGATTCATTCAAGTGCGATCAGATTCCCAATTAGTTACAGTGGGCGAGTGTGAGAAAATCATTGATGACTGGGCATTCTCGCGCGCTACTTATCACTGTCCAGATCCTACCAGTCTCTTTCTGATGTTCACTCTTGCTCTAATATTAGTTTTGTCCTCGTCTATGGCAAGAAATTGCGCTTCTCAGTTCCAATCCCAATTCTAAGTGTCAAAAACGTTCTCTACTCTACAAATCGAACTTGTTCATGTCTACAAATCGTATCGTACGACGAAATTCCTTTCTTTAGCATGTGCCTTTATCGGCCTCTGTATCGAATCTTTTCCTGCATTCCCTGACTGCCGTGCACGTGTCCTAAAACTGTGCGCATTGTTTTTTTGAGTTTTTTGGGAAGATGACTTGTTATGCAAACATTGTCTTAGTTTATGATATTGCGGTCTGGTATGATCAAATTACAACATTATCGTAATGAATATACTAATTTCACCTACAGACGTTCACTCACAGACTCCGCTGAGACAACCTTAGATCTCTTAATCTAGATACAATTCCTCGAGAGAACTGTTATCATATGAAACGTGGATTGTGGATCATCCTAAAGTAAATTCGACCTAAAAACTGATTTTTTAAATTTAAGAATGGGCGACATAAACGCATGGGATATGATAGGAGATGCGCCGTCCGAGATGAGGTCATCATCTTCTCGAGGATCACGTGCAGACCTTATGGAATCACAGATATCCCAGGTATGGTATTGTGAAGTGCTCAGAAACCCGTCAAAGACACATCACAGACGAGCTAGACTGAAAAGATCGAGCCAGCTGGGAGCTAAATGGGGTGTTTTTTGCTGACCATTGCGACGGTGCCGAACGGCAGCACGACACTTCACAGCACACTCCCTGCTATCCTCGCGAGTTCTGCGCCGTTCTTTACTTTAGATTTTTCTCTTAATAGACTCTTGCTTGGTTTTGGTTTGAATTGTTCTCGTCTTGTAGGAAGCTAATACATATTTCTTCGAAATTCTGCTCTTAACCCTCAGTAACATAACCCTTATACATTTCTAAAAAAAACCAGCAAGTGCTGCAGCAAAGAGAAAAGACTCGTCTCAACCTTCTGTATTATTTTGATCCAGGAAGCATAGCTATCTTTCAGCAAATGATTAAAATAGACGATGCGGAATTACAAGCACTTGGCTTAGCCAAGGAGGACATCGCGGAGGAAGCCGAGCGACAACGAGCCGATCGAAAACGACGGAGCAAGTGCGTGAAGTGTAAAGTTTTTAATCTTTTCCTGTCTCGCCTATTGAAGATGCCACGCTGTAAAAAGTGTTGCTCTAGAGTAGTCCCTTATTAGGGAAGGCATTCAACTCTCCATGGAACTTAGAATCAAGACCCGGATATATTGATAGTTTGAACCTCTGATTACAAATGTGGAAGCAAAACAATTTGTGAGCAGTCAGAGTTGGCTGGAAGTACAGCGTAACATATGTGTGAACTGTGCTGGCTTCAGGGTAGCCGCGGAGTAGTGGTAGTGCTCTCTCTCCATCTGCAGGTCATGAGTGCTCTCTCCTTGGAGTGCAAATTCGAGAGCACTACCACTACTCCACGGCGACTTGAAAGCCTGGAGGCTAGTGTAATGCTTTACTTCCAGCCAACTTTGACTGCTCACAACTTCCTTGGCAGGTTCATTTTGCAGTTTTAGTTTCCATATTTGTAATCAGCGTTTGAAGCTCTATCGATATATCTGGGTCTCAACTCAAAGTTCCATGGGAAGTTGAATGCCTTCCCTGGTTGGATTGGCGTCGTTTTCCTTTGTGGAGCGGAAAGTTCAACCTAAACAACGACTCCTTCTTGAGATTAAAGCCTAGATGTAGCGATTGCCCACTTGAATACGTTGCTGAATTTAGGAATAAGAAAATTCAGGAATAAGATTTTGAAATGTTCAATGGGAATGATCACGATCGAATCAGATCAACGTCAAACACGCACTACAACCCGGACAAGTTGTCGTAGAATTTCGCAAAGATCATTTAAGTGCCTATTGTTCCCTCACTCTTTAACTTTCTTTTGCAGCCCTGCTTCTTGTTTTATTTCTTTTCTGGGTAGAATGCTTTCCGGTGATGTTACCACATTGGGATACTATACGACCTTTCCAGGAAGCGACAACGTCACATGAAACTTCAGTTGCACCTTCTGAAGAGAGAGGATAATATCGCACTAAAATCTTAACGATCAAACTCATGTCTGAATCCCACCGCAACTGGTGCTATGCGTTATCGTTGCTGCCCCCTCCCATCTTGATTTGAAGAAAAACAGTGGTTTGCTCCAACACTCCGCTTGTTCGGGTCACACAGCACTCAAATCCCACTGCAATGTAAATAGAAGTGATATGCGTTACTGGTCTCTAACCTAAGAGATTTACGGAACTCGTCAGTCATTTTCCGGCCAGGTCAAGGCTTTATTTACCACTTTTATTTATCGGATAATACTAGAGAAGTGATCTGCTTGCGCGCCCTTATTTTTGTTCGACCAATTGTTACAATTAGCACCGAATGCACTGCCGCTGCCTGGTCTTCCAGGAATCCGTTACCTGCAATAATGGTGCTGCAGCCTATCTCCAAAAATGAAAACGCTTACGTAATCTCGGAAAATCCCTCTTCCAAGACCGTTCAATAGAAAGACCACACATGGGATACTTTCCACAATTAGAACAATTCAATATATGGCATCGAATGTTCATAGGAAATCCAGAAAAAATTTCCTTTTCATGTTTAGTCATATTTGGGCAGCTCCTAATATCAAACTTTGATTCAGATCACCTGCTCTCGAATCGATTCGGAGAGCTTCAATACATGTGCTGCAGAAGCTCGGTGTGTCGAAGAAGCGCGAGCAATTAATTCCACTTCAAAAAGACACGGAAATTGATCTCATTCCATTGGAAGCGTGTTGCAAGAGGTAGGTTGAAGAGCGGTGAGCTTTTGCAGCCGCAGAAATACCCAGAGGTACCAAGCACAAGTTCTTGGAAGATTATGATGTGTGTTGTAAAATGATTCCGCATGTTCCTAATACCATCAAGCACATACCACGTTCAAGCTGATGTGGTGATTTCGATCGAATATGGAAGTTTGGCTTTGGTTTCCTGCTGTTTAACGCCACAGTCCACGTTGCGAATGTTTCACAGGAGTGCTGATTATGAACACTATTGCAGCTTACTTGTCCAGTTATCGAAAAGTGCGGGTTCGAGCCTCGCCTGGGGCGAAGTTTTGTTGCACCCAGCATTCTCATGAAGTTTCTGTCCAAAGTGTACCAGGTTCAGGGAAGCGATAAAAAGGAATCAGTGAAAGCACCAGAAGCGCAGACACCCTTGTCTCAGACTATCGAGGTGCCTCAAGGGTAAATGACCAGGTAGTGGGCGCTGATGCGTCAGAATGACAAGCGAAGGCGAGGGAGAGCATAGCAGTAAGCGATGTGACAGTAAAGTTGGTCCCGCTCCCGTGTCAGTATGACTACCAGCCAGCAAGGCGGCGAAGCATTCTGGGCCCAATTGGAGCGTTATATCTAAGGAATCCCCTGCTATGCTACATGGCTCGTATCACCATCGTCTGTAGGCTACTTGCTCTTTATTAATTCTTTGTGAATTTATCCTTAAATAATCATGGTGTGTACCTTCATAGGGGCAAACTGGTTAAGAACACGAATCTATCAAACATTTTGCCCTGAAAAATGATTTCGAGAAGGAAAGCAAAGGGAAGTATTTGTGTTGTATTGTGACAAAAGGACAAACTGTGAATGAAGAAAGTGCCTCGAGGGTTGAGAAATAGTTACTGGTCAAGGCAACCTTCGGAGTTCAATTGAAAAATGTCTGTATATTTTACTGAATTTCGAGCAAAGTGAGCAAGCTGCGAGGCGGAGGCAGGATGACATTTTTTTATTTTTAGGCCGAGAGAATTTTTTCAAGAGCCGAAACCGTTCTCATTCCGTGATCTTGGAAAGGTTTTTCTACCGTCAGTAGACACGCGACAGGAAAAATGGTATGTATCTTTAGCTAGTTTGCATTCATCTTTGTACTCCTTTATGCTGCATTGATGGTGTAGCAAATTGAAACTGTTAAGTCATGCGTCATCATTAAAAATCCTCATAACCGAAGGTTTTGACACCCATGAATGTTCTTCCTTTCACTGTTTAGCAGCAATTGAATGATAGCAATTATGGTTATGCAAACACTATTTGACGTACAGCATTCAGTGACGAGCTTTTGCTCATTGCCTAATCGTTTAAATCCTAATAAATTTGACCCCACCGCGGCATTTACGTATGTGGTCTGCAAGATTAAAAACGGTACAATTCTACTTTCTCACTGTGAGCACGGACGCTGAAAAGTGACCAATAAAGCAATTTGGAAGATTTTTAGCGAAGATCGGTGAATTTTAGCGTTGAATGTGAACCTTGAATCAGCGGAGCGTGCGATGGCGAAGGATTGATGGGGGAGAACAAAAGGGAGGATATAAGCTCCCCCATGTCTATGTAGGTTGCAGCCGCGCCGGCCCAGCCTTCCATCCTTCCGAGGTCGGCCGAATTAGGTACCAGACTTGTCTGGGAGGATAAAAACACTGACTTGTACATCGGCTGGCCCCCGCAAGTCATTGTATAGGCCACATCGCATTCAAACGCCACTACGAATGTACAAATGGAAGTAGAATGCGTGCCGCATCCCAAAAAGGGATTGATCAATACCAAATGCCTTGTGCTTCATGATTAAACCGCACTACGCTATATTGTGATATGCATACTCAGAGAGTGACTAAATTACGCCGGCGCTCCTCCACAGCCGAATAAACCAGATGCTATTCTGCGTTTTGTGCGGGTGCACCATGACTCGAAAAAATGGGATCATTCGATTGAAATCTTTACCATTTTTCCTTCGACGACGAGTACATTCAAAAGCTCGCCAAAAAAGACCTAAGCTTTTGCAAAACTTTTGCAAACACACAATTTTGCAACTTCTTTTGTAGAAAGTTTTAGAGTCTTTTGCAATAAAATTTTGAAGTCTCACATTGTTTAATGCACTCTGAAATCGCTCCGTTTGAAGGTACAGCGATGTTGATTGTTGATTACACATTATTCGGAAATGTTTAGCCGTGAGGACGATTCCGATTTCTTACTACAGTAACTATTTATGTTGCAATAGTGATTTATTTCAGCGCCTACTTGTTTCGAGGGGCTTCGTTCAGCGATGAAGAGCAACAGCAGCGAGAAGCCGCCAGCGAGGTACACCGTCGGCCCTTGT